AGCAAAGCTGAGGGCAGGCTGCTTGCCCAGCTCCCCTCTCACCACTCAGCTGCTGTGGGGCCAGCAGTGCCACACAAGCACAGAAATAAATCTACTTTTACCTGGGGGGTAACTGTTCAATGCAAAAAAAAAACAACCCTGAGACATCACCAAGCCCTGGCCTAATACTGTAAATTTTTGGGGGGTCTGTGTGGCCTGCTGCAGCCAGTAGCCCCCTAAAAGCAATCCAATTCCTTGGGGAGCAGCACAGCTCCACGTCAGCAAGGCTACACTAGGAACCAGAGCCCCTAAAGCCCTTGGTCTGGCACGTGGCTGAGAGATGGGCACCCCCTGTCCTTCCTCTGCCTCCTGCAAGCTCACAGCCACCCGCACCCCCAGGACACGCCGGGCTAAACCCAGGAGACAAGAACAGCTCAAAGGAAAAGCAAAGCACTAACACCTCCCCCAGCAGCAGGCAAACGCTGCCCTAACACACCACTTCCCTTCCTCCCTCCCCTAACCTGCACACCGCTACATCTAAGGTGCCTCAGACATCCCAAAAGTCCAATTTCACCAGCTTTTTCTGAACAAAGTCTGCGGTAAAACACATCAAAACCTTCCCAGACACGTACAGAACAGATAGCTTGAAAGAAAACAAAAGCCTCCAATCTTTCCACTAGGTGGCTTAATGGGATAGTTCTTTCTAATATTGCTGTTGGCTTCTCTGTAGGAGTAAGCAAGTCCAGCTTTGCTGCTGCTAAGTTGACAACCTGCAAGCCCACGGCTGAGGTAACAGAGAGGTGAGTCAGAGGGGTGCCCCCCCAAGCGTTGGGGCTCAGCTCTGGGACACAGTAATCGTCTCTGGCCATGCTCCCCAGGTACTGGAGCAGGGGTGGGACAAGGCAATCCAAGAGCAGGAAAGGTTTGAAGGAAGAAAGCACTTAGGAGATTCCCTCTAGTTTCTCAGATCGATGTATTTCTCGCTCTTCAGTCCACCAAAAGAGACAGAGGGGAGAGAAAAGAAAAGAGGGGTGAACACAAGATCTGTCTGTGGGACAGAGGGCAGTGCTCTGGGGGACAGCCACCAGCCTGGGCCACCTCGTGGTGGCTGAGCATCCCCCCTGGGGCAAGGGGCAGTGAGCTCCAGCTGCGTGGGCAGCAGAGCCAGGGTGTGGTTATTTCCTGGGCTGAAGCACAGAAAAACCACAGCAGGCTCCTGGGGCTCTGCAAGCCCTGCTCAGCACGGTGACAGCCCCACACTGACACTGCCAAGGGCTGCTCCAGCCCCCCCCCGTGGCTCTCGGCCCCACATGAGAGGTGAGCACATGGCCCAGGAGACTCCTCTCATCCTGCACCAAGAACTTGGCTCAGAGAATGCCAGGGCAGGGCCAAGTCCTGCAGCCTCCGCTCTGGCTCCTGGCCAGGGACGTTTATGTAGCTCCTTCTCTCGTAGCCCCTGGGCTCCTGCTCCATGGAGCAGGGAAGGAGTGATGCCAAGCAGGCCGGGCAGTGGGCAGCGTGCTCCCAGGAGCTGCCAGGGAGCAGGTCAGGGCTGCTCCTACATCCCTGGAGCAGCAAGCCGAGGCTCTGTCCCCTCCCCACCCCTCCAGCAGGCTCTGTCAGCGCTGATGATGGATGATGGAGGCCCATGCAGGGTGGGGAGTGCTGGGAGAGGAGCAAAGCACTACCCTCGACGTGTCCCCCTACGCTCCTCACCAGCCCTGGGAGCAGCCCTGGCCCTGGGGAAGGGTGGCACACTACGCTCTGCCCTACCTGGTCAGCGGCAGGTCTCCTCTCGCCGTTGGCGCCCTGCAGGAGCCCAGCCTCTTCTGGAAGTTTATCTGACTTAACGTCAACTACAATCTTGTCTTTACGTGCCTCTGGCTTTGTGCTAAGGGAGGGAGGTGACAATTTTTTGAGACATGTTTGTGGTACCAAAAGAGGGCAACGTGGCCGGGCGAGCCCCCTCGGGCTCCATCTCGGGGCGGGGGGATGCTCCGGAGCGGGGCCAGGGGTGGAAGAGGTTTTGGCTCTAAGCTTTGGGCTGCCCAGGGTATTCCCTGGGGAGGGGTCCCTCGGCTGCTCTACCTCACCACTGTCCTCCTCACGGCCTCCCTGTGCTGGCCCCCAGGCTGTGGGAAGCTGGCAGTGCTGCCGAGACCCCGGCACGGTGCCCCCCAGGCTGCCCCGTCGCCCCCCACTGCGCCGGGCGGGTGCAATGAGATGGGAAGCACGAGCAATGGCAAGCACCTCTGGCCCCAAGGGCTCCCTGGGGGGTGGGAGGCAGTGCTTACATGTCCTGTTTCCCAGCACGGCCACAGGGGATCTTGCCTTTCTTGTGCAGGAAATAGATGACAGACCCCAGCACGGCCACCACCAGGATGCAGACGATGATCGCCACGATGATCACCCCTTTGCTCTCCGGTGTCTTTTGATCTGAAACACAAGAGAAAGGAGTCAACACCTGCCCCGCCTTGATGCTCTGCAGTTTCTGCATTACTTGCACCCTTTTCTGCATTTCCTTGCACCCCTTGGGGGCAAGGAAAGGAGCCCTCTCCCCAAGGAAGCACCGCAGGGACTCCAGTTCTAGGGCTTCTCCAGCTCCCTGCAGGATGCAAGGATAAAAACGCTCAGTTAGGGCAGTTCCTGTGTGATGACAATTCTCATTCTGCTCCCAGCTGACATGCCCCTGCGTGCTGTAGGAGGATGGCTCACAGAGCTCCTGCAAGCCATCAGGCCAGCTCTTTGCCTCCATGCCCAGGAATCATAGAATCATAGAATCCTTTAGGGTGGAAGGGACCTCCAAGATCATCAAGTCCAACCATTGAGCCATTAGGGCTCTAAAGTCCTCTGCTAAAACAGATCAGAATCTGTCAGGGTTGGAAGGGACCACAAGGATCCCCCAGTTCCAACCCCTCTGCCCTGAGCAGGGACACCTCCCACTAGATCAGGCTCCACTCGATGGCCTTGCTGGGCTAGGGGCTGAGGACCAGCAGGCAGCTCCCACACCCCCGCAGGAGCAGGTGGAGAGGGATGGAGAGGGAGCCTCTGCTTCCCTCAGGGCTCGGCAGGGAGGGAGGGAGGAGCAGCCAGAGATGCAGTGCAAGAGCCAGCAGCCAAGACTCCCTCCCCAGGCCAGACTGGAGCATGCCTCCTGCCAGCTCCCTCCAGACACAGGCAGCATGGTGCAGGGACTGACCTTTTCTGATGGACTCCACTGGGAGAGCAGGAAAGGAAAGGAAAGAGACAGCTTGGCCACACCACAGGGTTCACACAGAGCCCGTGCGAGGGGGGGCTAACACTTTTCTGGGTTCCCAGGGGGGCAGAGGGCAGCACCCACCACTCACCCAGCAGCTGGATGTGCTCCTCGATGTCCCCCAGGGTGTTGGAGACCCTGCACATGGCTCCAGCACGCAGCAGCTCGTGGCTCACACGCACCGTCAGGTTGCTGGCCACGTGCTGGTCTTCAACATACTCGTGAGCCTGGAGGAGGGGGGGAGAGGCAGAGAAGGACTCAGCCCCCGAGGCAAGAGGCAGCCTCTCCAGAGAGGCCACGGGCTGTGCCCAGAGCAGCTCTCACCGTCCCGTTGACGCTCCAGCGGACGGAGGGCCTGGGGAAGGCGATGGCCTTGCAGGTCAGGTTCACCACCTCGTCCTGCCGCACGTACAGCGGGGAGCTGACCGCCACGATCCGCGGCTTCCCTGGGGGCAACCTGTCAGCCACCCCTGGCTCCTGCAGGGCACAGGGCTCGCCCTGCCAGGGCGGCACCCCCACGCCCGGTCCTTACCCTGAACGGCCACGGCCACCTGCTTGCTCTGCTCCAACCCCGGCACGCTCGGCGCCATCACCTTGCAGCTGAAGTTGCTGGAGGTTTCGAAGGTCAGGTTGCTCAGGAAGAGCTGGTTGCCTTCTGCAAGCTTCTTGCCCTGTGGGGAAGGGATGTCCCCTGACAATGAGCCCTAAGCCCTTCTGCGTCCAGCTCCCCAGGCTCTGCAGCTGCCCCAAAAGGGGCTCAAGTCCTGTCTCCTGCGCACAGCAAGGGATCCTGCAAGCACAGGACCTCCCTGCAGCACTGGCCAGGAGGTGAGGAGGTAGGGAGGGACAGTGCAGGTCCACAGAAGGGAATCCTATCCCTGGCCTCGCTCAGGAGAGATGGAACAAGCTCCTGGCTCTACCTAGTTTGCTGCAGAGCTCAGGGTCGCTGAGCTGGAGGACAGGACCCAAACACAGCTCACCTTTGCATCCCTCCACTGGTAAGCCAGGGCCAAGGGGCTGTGGGCATCGCAGCTCAGCTTCACACTGTCCCCTTCCTGAAGGGGTGAGGATGGCTCCATCTTCACGTGGACCCCTTCGATGTCTAGGAGAGGGATGGAGAGCAGGGCAGTGTGAGCAGAAGGGATCAGGCACCATCCCGAGGTCTGTGCAGGGTCCCGTTCCCCTGCCTTACAGTTCACAACAAGCTCCACATCCTTCTCTAGCTGTCTCATATCATCCAAGTCCAGAGTCTGGCATTTGTAGAGGCCACTGCTGCTCTTATTCACATGGTGCAGGTTCAGCACCCCGCTGGTGGCATCTGCCAGCGACGACAGATCCTGCCAGTTGTCATCTAGCTGCAGGCAGCGGGGAGAAAGCAGAGAGGCAGAGCCTTTAGTCCCACACAGGCTCCCTCCCATCTGAGCCACCCCATCCCGCTCCCAAGGCTCCTCCAGCAGAGCTCAGGAGCAGCCAGGACACAGGACGTTTGGTGCCCAGGTCCCTTCTGGCCTCACCTCTCTCTTATAGAAGCTGAAGACAGGCGCTGGGTTCCCATCAGCCTCGCAGACCAGCTTCACATCATCCCCTTCCTTCACCAGCGCCGAGGACGGCATGACCCGCAGGTTCACGTGCTCGGCGGGGTCTGGGGGAGGAGGGAGCAGCAGGGGTTGGGTCGGAGCCCCAGCAGGGCAGCACGGGGCAGAGCCCCCAGCCCCTGACTCACAGAAGACGGTGACGTTGACACGCTCTGACTCCACGGCCCGGCGCTGGCCCGGCAGCCTGAAGTGCACGGTGCAGTGGTAGAGGGTCTCGCGGTCCTCCCGTGTGACGTGGGCAAAGAGGGTGCTGGTCACTGTGTACAGCCCACTCGACTCCCTGGTCCTTGTGAACGTCATCTTCA